CAAATCAAATGAATCTTTCTACTGGTGACTTTTAAAAAGCCACCATTAGAAAAGAGAGAGCTGGAACGTCCTGGAAGAGCGAGAGCTGCAACTTCCAGGAAGTTGCAACTCTTTTTTCCCTCATAGTCTATTTACCCTGAATTACCCTGTGCACCCTGGCAAGCTGTACACAGAGGAACTGGAGTGGATTTGGGGTAGCTTCAGGACCGCATGTGAAAAGGGGATAAGGCTCTTTGGCTGAACCTACATATGCAGTCTGACAAGTCTAATCTTCTAGCCTCTCAATTCATCAACAAGACAACTTATTCTTCCCCGGTCAATTTAAGGTTAAAGACAACATTAAGCAATCAAATCATCTGGATTTATCAGAAAAGAACAAGAACCATGGGGAGGCAGACAGCATGCATGAGTCACCTGCTTTCTTACCTTACATCATGCCAATGCGTTCCCACTTAAACCTAGTTCCCAAGATATAAAGATATATCTTATATAAGAAATACTTTGTAATTACTTAAACAGTTTTGTGTATATCTTTTTCCCAGCGCGGTGAAGGTTTTCTTGGGTTACATGTGCAAGATCTTTAAGTGCACAGGCTTTAGCATTGTAGCTTGGGTTTAGTCGAGTTCTACTTCCTTTAACCCTTTAAAGCCAAGCACAGAGCCAAGTCTGCCAGAGCTTATCTTTACATTATTACATGCTGTAGTGGCATATTTGGAGCATTTCAAGTTGCTATCCATCAATACAACCATTATATCCCAAATTTTAATAATATGCATGCATTAATAAAACAGCTTTGTGTAAGCTATCTAATATTGGTAGAACCAAGCAAGTAATTAAATACTACAAATGTAGATTATTCAAGCCTAGATTACCACTTAAATTCCCAAAGCAGTTTCCCAAAATCTCTAAGAAAAGAGCTGGTATATGTAGCATGCTGCTAACTCGCAAAGATGTTGTTGAAGGGAATAAACAAAAGCCTCACTTCTGCGAAAAAGGACTTCTCTTTCTCATCAAATAATGGTGCATTAAAAAAAAAAAAGACAACAGATTGCTGTATCTACATATTGCTGGATGCAAGTGAAGACAACACACAGCCACCAGAGGTTCATTTTCTAAGCACAGAGACAGTAGATAAGAGATAAGAAAGTTTAGTCAAAAACTCAGCACTCTGTTTCTGGCTTGCTAAGCTGCTTGTCATCCACAGATGTTGACTAGCAGAGCAGAGCAGCTTGACAGCTGAAGTAGTGTATGTAGTTTTAACAGTCAAAGTGGAAACAAAGCAATAAAAAATCCCAAGGCAAGCATTTTCCTCAAACACCACCATTCAGCGAAAGTTTTCACAAACCACTCGGACCATTTCGTTAAAACATACCCATAAAAGAGTCCCACTGGCAGGGAGGCATTACCTTCTCAAATAGCTTCAGCTGACAGGACTACCTATTATATAAAACAGAAGAGAAAACAGCTTACATCAGCCTGGTGATTTGTGTGTCAGTTTATCTCATTTTATGCGTGGAGATGCGCGGTCGATGCCGTTCCAGCTCACGGATGGTTGACACGAACAGATGTTAGATGTTAGGGTACTACCATTTCCAAGCCACATGTGAGACATGTACTTACAGTAGTCTCTTCTTGCATGCAACATCTGATGCCTCATTGGATTTTACACATCTGTGTGCATATGTGTGCATATTATTGCTAGCACGTGCAGAGAGGCAAGATAGTATATAAAGAACAATCTGGCGGGCTGCTAACATTTGACTCACCTATGCAATCCTTCAGAAAGGACATACCTCTGTGTGCATCCTTGCTGGGCATACTAAGAGGTGCTCTGACCTTGGGCTTGTGCTATATGTTAAGTTACATTTACCGACAGAATGCAAACACAGATGGCTGTTCAAAAATCAAGATGTGTAGACAAATATAGAAAATGTAAGCAATGAGCAGTGACAGCATCTGTTGTGTAATCAGACCCTATTTAAAGTTGCAACCTTTACAAAGGCCTTCTTTACAGTGTGCATACATATTTATTTGTGTGAGCCAGTGTATGTGTAGTACTTCAGTTTCTGTCTGCATTTTGTTTTATTCTCTTGGTCTCACTAACTTCAAATATTACTGATCATTTGTACAGTAGTTTGAGACCAGTTGTCAGGATTTCCTTTTTGTTTCTGTGTTTTCTGAAGCTTGATTTGTTTGTTTGAAGCCATCTTTTTGCATCTCCCTGCAGTTTTAAAGCAAATTAAATGGAAAACTCGACTGGGTTTGTACATCAAAGTCTGTTTTGAGGTCTTAGTGACTAGAACTACATATGTGCAAAAAAGCTTCTAAACCATTTGTAGTTTCACAGAAGTCTGACAGCTTGCCTCAACCGAGTTACTGTTAGTTGGAAATAAGATTACATATATTAAAATATACATTGTGGCGTTTTAGAATTAGAAAGAGGTGAACTCACTGAACCTCAGAAGGCTGTTCCTCACCCCTGCTTCAGCATTGACTTTACTACTTCACTTACTGCCAGCATTGCTCATCTAAGACATCAGCCACACTGGACAAGAGACCAGTTGGCAACCTCCTGGCAACTTCTGGTTGCTAGGGAAAAATGAGTATTCCACAACTGGTTGGCAAGTAAAATAATTCACAAAAAGGGCTCTGCACCTAAAATCTCTTTGTCATTGTTCAGTCTCTGGAATATTTCTGCCTTCGCCTGTAATTTGCTTGGAAATTGTTTGTAAGAACTTGCTAACTAACCACTGAGCTAGCTCCTAGCAAAATAAGAAAAGCAGTTATGACCACTGCAGTTATTAGCCAATAGTAATCTCTCCATCTAAAAAGAAAGGACAGATGTTTGTGAATATTTAAAAAGTTTTTTATCCATTATGAAGGGGGTTCAGCTAGCTTTAGAAGTGGCAGGCACGTCTCTAAGAGACAGGTAGAAGTGCGGTGTCAAACCTTATCCTCTAAATAAGAAAAAAAAGACTAAATAAAATGATACACTGTTCCTTTAAGTATGCTTTGCTTAGTCAAAAATGCTAATACCAAAATGAGATGAGCAATTTGGGGAATGAACACGTCTCATCCATTTCTCAGTTACTCCACAACTTTAGTGGCTTCTCCAACCACGCAGTCTTACCCCATCACAATGAGTCTTTCCAGCACAATTTAGAGTCATGTACTGTGTATAATTCACATTAATCTTTTTCTAAGTTGGATTTTCAGCTTGACTATGTCTGCACACCAACTTTTCTGATGAGGATTCAGGGTGTCCTTACAAATCGTACCTCCTCCATGAAATGCCGTAATAAGGCTTTAATCAAGTGGATATTTTTTCCACACAGCTTCTCCTTATTTTGTCATTATGTACATTACTAACTTTAAACATCCTATGACATTGCACCCTGTCTCTGTGCTATATTTAACTATCAATCCCTGTGCCTGCTGACTGGCAGTAGAGTGTGGATACTGTCAGGTTGTGGGCGGAGGGATGAGGTGGCGTTCAACCAACAGTTAGCACCACATAAAGCCTTTATCACACCTAAACGGCTCTGTCTCCCAAAGCCACAGTGAGATAAGCACTGCCCATTCATCTGTAATGATGTGGAAGCAAGAAGGAACTGAACTTGTGAGAAAAAGGCTAACTCTGACACATGGCTGAAAACGGTAGAGGGCCAGTGGGGTTTGTTCATGCTTTAAAATCATGCTTTAGCCTGTGTTTACTTTTTTGTTATTTATTAGCTTATCATACCTAAAACCATTAGTTTTAGGTTTCAAAGTCCTGTGATTATTGGGAAGATGAAAACATAAAGTGTGGCAGCATTACACAATAGTGATTGAAAATGTTCCCTTTGGTATGAAATTTAAATGTTTTTGAAGCCACGTTGGTTGAATATTCTCAGAAATAACCCTGGCTTCACATGCTCATTATAAACTTCTGTTTTCAAAAACCCAAGATTCGGAGTTTCATAGCATTTTAGAGTTCAAGTTTAAAATATTTCTAGTATTTCTGAAAGCATGTGAGAGCAGCAAAGGGGTGTAACTCTTGTGTAAATATCCTAAAAATAATGTTACTTTCTCAATTTGCGTTTGATTCACATGTCCTGTCTAACGTATGTTAACAGTCACGTAACTTAACGGTCACCGAACGAGTCAACGAGTCGCCACCAAATACAGAATGAAGAATTTGAAAAGGTGCCGCTAATTTATGTAACACAAATTCGCAACGGTGAATGTCATTGCACTTTATACTGTTAACAAAAGACTTTAGAATATGACAGACAAAAACCTCGCAGTTCCCACTGAGCAAGCACTTGGAAACAGTGAGGAGAAAACTTCCTTTTAACATGATGAAAACCCTGAGAGAATTCTAAATACAGCCTAAATCCATTAGGGAGCCATCGCACAACATGTAGCAACTGCCAAGATAATTCTGAGACTTTTTAGAGTCTATTCAGATGACACAACATAAGGTGCACTCTACACACAGTATTCTCCAATCTTATTAGCAAAGTGGTAAAAATGCAGCCTTAAAATATAAGGAAAGGGTTTAAATAGATGTTAGCCAAATGTTTATTAAGTTTAAATAAGTGACTAACATGACAGTTTCGTTCGGTGCTTAATGATTTTCATCCTGACTAGAATTATAAAATGTTGAGCTAGCATGATAACATTTTATAAACACTTATTCTAATACAGAACATGAATTGTATAGCCATGCTAGCTGCTAGCAGTGTGTTGAGCTAAGTCATGCTAATGTGTAGAAAATACAGTCGTTATTATAGCAAACATACTTGATTACTGTGATACCATAGACTGGCTAAATAGCTCTGACTTAAATACAAATGACGCACTGTATAATATCTGGTTTAAGTTCGGTGAGATAGTTAGCACAAGAGTGCATCCTTCTGTCCTGCTGTGTCTCTTGCAGCTTTATAAAACAGCCTGACCTGACAGAGCTTTTATTCACATGTCTTTACTCAAACCTGCGACCTGTCTGTGTCTTCCAGGTTTAATTGGTATCCCAGCTGCAGCTCTGGACCCTTCAGGAGCTCCAAAGAGGAAGACATATGAGACCACAGAGTCTACTGGAGAATGCTGTCTGGCCCTCAACCTCACCATGGCGCTCTAGGAACACCGTTAACCTGCCCCCTTCCACCAATCCTCTTTTTGCCTTTGTCATCCCCCATATCCCACTGAGTTTGTGATCCCTTTCTGCTCCCAGCTGAAGTCCCTTTGATATGAGTACAAGAGCTTTTATTTTGGACATGTTGTTTTTTCCATTCAGCGCTGCCAGCCACCAGGGCTATGGCGGCAAGCATCACTATTCTACTCAGCAGGTTGCTAATCACTGTCTGGTGTGGCTCTTGGGACTAGTGCTGCACCTGACGATTTCCTCGTGTCAACGAGTTGACCTGAAACACCCCATAGTATCCACGAGTTACGGAAAGGTCCGTGGTATCAGGAAAGAGCTCAACAATGAAATCTTGGGCCCAGTGGAACAGTATTTAGGTGTGCCATATGCCACCGCACCTATTGGCGAGAGGCGCTTCCAGCCTCCTGAAGCCCCAGGTTCCTGGCAAGAGATTCGCAATGCCACTCATTTTGCGCCTGTGTGTCCTCAGAATGTGCACGGGGTGCTTCCTGAGATCATGTTACCAGTGTGGTTCACAGACAACCTGGATGCTGCAGCCACCTATGTTCAGAACCAGAGTGAGGACTGCCTTTACCTCAACATTTATGTCCCCACTGAAGATGGTGAGTCCGTAATGTGAGGCGTAGCTTGTATTACATGCAAGTGGAAAGTCTTGCATTGAGTGTCTCTGTCGGCGAATTCTCGTTAATAATTTGCACCAGTTTGTGTCACAACTGTATCACAGAGAAAGAACAGATTGTACTTTTCTTGTCATTTTCACATTTTATACTGAGTGTAAGTACTCCATGAAATAGTGTCAGTTTGATAAATTTATCTGGATCGTATTCAGAGGAAGATAAGCCAAAAGACAATCAGGAGATTTCCAAAGAAGGTCTGTTTAAATTACTATTGATTGGGCCTAATTGTTTAGAAATGTTAATGCTGCAACAAAGTTATATGTTTTAGTTTTATTGCTCATGTGCAACTCATTTTAACATGGATGGATGGATATCATTAGACTTTTAAAAATGAAAGCAAAAACATTTTAGCTGCTTATTATGCTATTTTTAACAGCACTGTGTTGTAATATCCTTTAGCTTGACTGGTGCTCATTTGTTTCCAGCCATTTTCTTAACATAGGGTCACAGCTGTCGTGGGGTGAGAGGAGGGTATCACCCTGGAGTGTTCACCAGTCCATCACATGGCTAACGCAAACAGACAGATTCATATCTTCACCACTTAAACTAAATGCATGTGTTTGGAGTGTGGGAGGAAACCCATTATGCACAAGGAAACCATACAAACTCTACAGTCTAAAAACTTTTATGAAAACTTAGCGTTTGTTTGGTTTTTTTCCATTTAGTTTTTGACAAACTTGTAAGTGTAGAGCAATGTTGCTAAGAGAATCAAACCAAAGAATCCCCTGTAGCCACACAGCTGTCCTTCACACTATGACTTTATACCATTCAAGTGTTTTCAGAGGAAGGTAACTCTCTTCTTCTACCAACTCTTCACCAGCAATTATGACTATGACAGTACTGTCAATACTGTTAGCAGTGCTTTTTCAATAATGAATTCCTACTTATCAAAGTCACACCCAGTGTGGTTGCAACATAACATAATGTGACATCACATCACATCACATCAAATGACACTGTTGCAACCATTTCCACAGTGGTTGAAACCATGTGCAGTGAACTTGCAGTCTTGTTAGCTTTCAAATGGTTATTTCAAAGACAAGGACCAGGTCCGCCACATCTCAACCTATGTTAAGATGGTGATAAAACATCAGTAAGACAGAGTCAGTCTGCTCTTAGTTTGTAACATGCCAGAACCTCATGAATTTGAATTAAAAATTCAGAAATACACGAATAGTGACATACTTACTGCAGGATAACGATTTAACTGCAAAATGACCTTGCATTTTATATGTTTACAACCCCACAGATCAAGCCGAGTACGCTGTTGCAAAGAGACACAAATGAGTTGCGCTCATCGGCGCAGAGTAACTCAGAATGATTGCAACGTGTTCTCAACCAGTCTGCGTTTATCTATTAGATGGCAGTTATTTGGAAACCTTTAACAACCTTCCTGAGAGCGACTGCAGACAGTCTGAGTCTAACCACAACTGTTTGGAAATAGTTTGCCTTCCACCAGGCAACCTGTGCAAGCCATCGAAAGTGGTCACCCAGAGGTTGAGGGTGTTTCATACTGAACATTTGGGTCACTGTGACTGTTTGGATCTTATTGCTGAATGCGAAAAAATTTAACACAATCACTGATTTTTGCTAGTTCCATATTTTTACTCTAGCATGACTGAGCTTTTAGCTCATGTCCCATTTGCTGTCTATCACTTTATAGGTTGCTCCAGTTAAGAGTTTACATATAAAGACAATAAGATTGACTTATAATTGTCAAAAATATGCCTGTATAATATTGAGCTCTGAGACTGGCATTCATACTGTCTCATGCAGTAATAGGAACTGTCTCCTCAAAGTTGCGCTGCCAATATGGTGATTTTTTTATTAGGTTATTAAAATATATAACAAATACAGTACATTGCCAAGCATAACCTTGTTTACTCCACATGGGCTACCTGGGTGTAGTTCTTGCATTAATGAGCCAGCGGAGAGCGTTTGTGAAAGCAGATGGGCAGGTAAGAGAACACAGGATCAAAGTCTGACTTCGGAGGCAAAGCATATGCTGCTGATGATAGTGAGCAAGGCTAATGATAAAATGTTAAAAAGCCTATGATTAATGGGTTCACCTGAGACTTACCTGAGAGTATTCAAGCAAAACACATGTTTATGCATTACAGCTGCTGCAAATATATGAAGCCTAGCCCGAAGATTAGTCTAGAGTGGCGTAAAACATTCTTGTTTCAACAATGAAGCTGGAATGAAAACTTATATATCATTGATGAGTGCTCCCATGCCCCCCCGCCCTCCCAGAGAAGATGGTAATGTTAATTTCAAGTAGTAGAAAGTGATGACAGAGATTATCAAGTGATTTAAATTCCTCTTAACATGACGGAAAGTGTGCATATTCTGGCCATAAGGACAGAATTAGTGGAATATCTAAGCTATATACATATATTTACAAAAAGGATTATTTAGACTTTTCTGTGTTATTCCCATGGGGAAAGGTGTGCAAATGAGTGAGACAGATTTTACATGTAGCCCTGTCTGCTTGTCAGAATCTGTCACTTATCGTCACGGGTCACCACTTACACAAGGCCAATGCCTTCCCCAAGGATATGTTTTGCCTTGTGTGTGTGAGAGAGAGAAATAGAGACGGGAGGAGAGTGATATGCCCCAGGAATCAGATACATTTTTCACATATTACCGCTGTCATAATCTCTCAAATTGCTTATATGATGTTAAACTGGTGGTTTTATCGGATGGAGCAGATTTTTTTTAAGTGTTTCACTGTGACATTTAAAGTATTATTATAATCTGAGATAAATTTTTTGGGATCACTCACTTAAAAACTTTAAAACAAAAAGATCAACCACAAACAAAGCATCCTGATGTCATGAAACGTTTTCCTTTAGACATATATAATTGGTCGACCTCTGTAAAATTAATTGTTGTCATGTTTCCAAGACAGTGCATGTCCATTTCATTAGTGATCCCATGGGGCCTCCACTGGATTTACATTTATAGTTTAGAATAGGATTTCTGGAACAATAGGATTCATTGCCATTAGATTTGGATGAAGATGAACTGCACTTTAGAATTTTGTGCTATTATTTGGCCCTGATTTTTGGTTCCCATGATAATTTGGTTTATATTGACATCAGCTGTCGTTTTTATACTACTTGTAAATACAACAGAGGGACATCGTGCTCAAAGGACCGAAAGTCTTTTCAGAAAAGACTAAAATAATTCCATTCCATTGTTTAAAAAAAGCCTAACAAAAGGTTATTTGTGGTCAAAATTAACAAAGAAATGTCAGAATTATCAGATGTGACTAGTGATTATATGCATCCAGTATTATATCCTGGTAACCACAGAAATTAAAGTTAAATTTGATTGTGTTTTTTCTCTAAACAAATGCCCAAATAAGAGCCCAGAGGCATTTTAAAGCTAAGTTTTAAGATTTACTGGTGGAAGCACATTGGCCTCACTGATCATCTGTTCCTGTAGACTCTTAGTGATGTTTCAGCCAGACTGAGCTTTTTATCTACAGGAGTAGGTTTGTTTTCTAAAGTGATGGTCAAGCATGTATAAAGGTTGGCTGCTGGGGCTGTATTGTGCTGTGTTTGGCAACGAGGAGTTGCATTCCCACGCACAACGGATGTAGGTGGGCCAAAATGAATTGGCAGCACAAATTCATAAAGAGCTTTTAGAGTTCAGTGTTATGTAGTATCCTCTAGTCATGCACCTTCTGACTGGGATTTTTATTTCATACCCAGAAATACTCTTTCTGACCATGTTCGTCATGTGATTGGTTGGACATGAAGAAGCTTTATTTCTTTCTGCATCCGTTCACCCGTCCTGCTCTCTCTCCTCCCTAAAACCATCCCCTACCCCTTCTCCTCTCTGCTCTCCTCACTCCTCCATCTTTATGCAGATGGCGGTAGAAGGGGTCACTGTTCTGAATGCAAATGAGCTCAGTGCCCTTCCCCAACAGGCCACTATGTAGCCTGCTACTTCTTCAACTTTGTAGTACCATGTAAATAGCACAAATGTTTTCCCCGATTGAACAGTGAGATTTGTACTCTCACTTTATCTCTCTTTTGCTCTCTTCCACCTTCTCTAGTGTTCCACCCTAACTCTTAGCATTTGGTCAGGCTGTCAGGCAAGAGCACTGTTTCATCGCATTTCCTATTTCCCCAAGACACTCCCCAGCCAAAAGCCTGAGATTCTTCATTTTTATTACCGCTAGAGCAGGCATTTACCGTGCTCTTTATTAAAAACCATATTTCAGGAGGCAGGACAGCGGAGGCAAGAATGGAGCTGGGGGCTGGGGCCACAGTAGAAGAGATAGAGAGCAAAAGGATAGGACTGCATGTGCTAGAAGCTGCAGGAAGTGGGGGTGTTGATCTGAAGCTGTGTCTGACACCTTGTCAAGCAGACAGGCCACCACAGACATGACATACTGCAGCTTCATCCCGATTACTGCACTGAGGAAATGGAGAGGGACGGGAGACAGCTTGCGTACTGGCCACTAGCTCACTGAACCGAACAGAAACGCTGTCGACTGAGAGATGGAGCTGCATTAGGTCAAACAGTACTGGGACAACCCAAGCTAAATGTTCCTGCATAGGCCGTAGCATTTCACTGACCAGTGGCCCATTACATCATGTGGCACTCAGCCTACCGGCAGGCTTCTCTGCTGATGGGAAGCAGATGGAATGGATGTTTTTGACCCAAAAAGCGTATGTTTTTCCCTTTGGCTAGGTCCTACTTTTTGTCTTGTGTAATCCATTGTAGTATTTCTTCAAACCCTAGTCAAGTCGGGCAAGACCTAGATACTGCCATGAGCAGTTATTTTAGTGCAAATTCAGTATATTAAACACACAAGCGCAGCCACTGTAGCATTTAGCCGTGATGGAAAATAGCCACAATAAAACCACTACCAATGCTAAAATGATTTATCCAGTGACTTAGATAATTTAGTGATGTTTCTCATAGAGCCACTGTGGAATTTGTAGTGTATAATAAATGTCTCAACATCTCTTTGATGGATTGGTGTGAAGTTAAGTTCAGACTTGAGTCATTTTAGTGACTCGTTTTTTTATTCAAGTAATTTGGTTTATGAATAAACACCTGCAAAACCAGTGGCATTCCCATCAACCTCATCTGCACTGTGCTTTGTGGTTAGGCTTGTCAGTGCTAGCATGTTGACATGTAGCTTAAACCAATTAAGCCAACTTAGGTGATTTTGGGCTGGTGCAGATGAAAGATGACCACCACAATTGAATTGTGCTGGTCATCTTTGGATGATTTTCCGTTTTGGCTCCACAACAGTAGTCCAACATCCAGCTGTTATCCAGCTGTCCTTTGCAAGTAGCAAAGGATTTATAGATGCACATCATACCCCGGGATTCAGGAGGTATTATCAGTCATACAGTCTCCGGGCATCAAACTTGATATCTTACACCAAACCATCACAGTGTGGCTCTCAATGAACTCTCAATGACATTTCAGACATCTCGGGATGTCTGAAATGTCAGTCTTTGGGGGCCGTTACAGAAATGCTAGCGTGGCTGTAGCCTTTACACTGGGCTTTGGCTAGCTGTGCTAGGCTTTTAAACTGATTATTTCATAGTGAAAATAATACTAAAGAAGAAAAGATTCTTCAGTGTTTTTTCTGTTTTTTAACAAATTTACTGTGGAGATCTATGGACGATATCTGCTCCATGACAAAGTGTGGATGTGCTGCTCATCTTCACATAAAGTTTAAGTCTTATTAGGCATGAGGACTTTGAACTGAAATCCGAGTAGTCCATCCATTAAGCGGGAAGGTGTGGTTTTAGAGTGGTGATAAGTAGTGAGGAAGTGCCGACAAGATAGGGTAGTAATGTGCCCTTCTATCCATTACTGGTCTGCTTACCTGCCTGCTCTGTAGTCCAGGACCTACGACTATACCATCTCCCGCTATGGCACTAAGTGCTCTCTGGATCAGGCGCCTGATGATGGTGTTCATGGGATGCAGCAAATCCATTCAGCATTGATCCTGTCCCATTTTAATGGAAGATAAACATTTTATACCAGGAAACCATATTCATACAGATAGAGATGTGAAAATGCTGCATTATAATGGTGGAGTGCTGGGTGTTTCCTTTGTCAATAGATGAGAACTACTGTGAAAGGTATATATGCCATAACTTTACAAGAAGGTTTTCAGCAAAAGGGTAGAAACAGGCATGTCAGCAGCACAGAAACAGAGTGATAACCCTCTTGGCAATCGAGTATAGAGCAAATTTAAAAGACTGCAACAATATTTCATTGGAAAGAGGGAAATTTGCTGCTGGGTGTGTACAAGGACGACAGCACAAGTTGATTGTAAACTGTTAACATTCCTTGCGTGGTGTGTGATTTAAATGTGTGTGGGACTGCAGGTGTTTTAGTGTATTTTGTGACTTTCTTCCAAACGGGCAGGCGGCAGCTGTAGACGACACAAAATGCAGCATTAAGTGTTTGCTGATGAAAAAGCCCCACTGACAGAAGCCAAGAAAAAAAACAAATTAATGGGATCCTTATCAGTTAAGACTTACAGAGGTTGACATGCCAGGGCGTTGGCTGGTCACGGTGATAAATGCTCGTTATTGGCTCTCCCCTATAGTGCATTTAACTGGTGTCACCATTAAAGCTTAATGCAGAGCTCCACTTTGACCTTGATGAGGCCAATCCTGTCACAAACCCATGCAGGTGGCATAACCGTCAAAAAACCCCAACTTCCTCTTGGCAAATTAGGTAGGCAAGACTTTTAAGTCATGTTTTAGGTTTAGGCTGGTGTTTCTAATATATATTCAGTCACATTTATACAGGAGTGAAGGGATGAACCTTGTGTTTTGAGTCCTCAGAGCAGGACACGCAGCATCTTGGCATTCCTTTGCTTTTTCTGACCCAAAAGAGTGATGGCTTGATTCTGTTTATTGATTTTTCTTTACAAAGCAGCAGTGTGTCAAGACTGATTGGGAGAAGGGTTGAGGAGAAGTGGCCTCTGGGGTCATTTACGAGGCAGTCCGTGACTAGATCCTAAGCAGATGAAACAGATGAGTTTGGGGGTTATATTTTTAAAGGAAACAGTGTGTAATCCTTGTACACAGCCACTGAAATGAAACCGAGAAACAGCATATTTTTTCCCTCTCTTTTAATCCTTTTCTTAATTTTTTTTCTGTTTTGTTTTTTTGTACCAGTGCAACCTTTTTGAATTTTGTCTTTTGTCTTTTTTCTAAACCTCAGGTCCGCTCACAAAAAAACACGATGAGTCTTCAATGAACAGACCCAGGGATGAAGGTATTTTAATTGCATGTTTTTTTCCCCTCATGCTCTATTTTTCAAACTCCATGGGGGTTGTGGTGTTTTCATCTGTGTTAATAACCATCTGAGCGTAATCACCCTATGTGCACATTACATTGTCCTGTGTTAACTGCCTTTATTAGCATACAAATCTGTCACTCCTTCTCACAGGCACGCATTTTGGTCGTATAAAAGCCACATACAAAGTATTTGTTTTTTATTCCACCCTTGTCACAAATGCTGCGTTTTGTGTGCTTGCACGGGGAGCTAATTAACTTTCCTTGCTTGGTTGCTGTGTGGTTGATTAACCACACTCTGATGTTCTGGCTATCCAGCGTGACGCATCACTGAAAATCGATATTCAGTCCTTCTTCACCTGCGCTTTTATTCTTGGACTAAAGTTCTCGTGAATTGCTCGGCTAAATTATCGTCCTTCATAATGTTATTGGGCTCTACCCAATCCTTCATTTTTAAAGTGGGAAAAAGTGAAGGACTTCTGCATATTTCTTCCACTGTAGTATATTTTCAAGATCACTGCAGACAAGGGGAGATGCTCGCACTACACTTTACTGGTGCACCAAAATCTGTGCAGACAATTAGTGCGTGTGTTTTTGTACACGTGCTAAGGCTTACTGTATATTGCATAGTATTAAACACACATGCAGTGCTCCACATTTCCATTTGTGCATGTGTGTGTGCGTGCATGTGTGTCTACTTGAGCACAGCGCATGTGCAACTCAACACACGAGCGCGTGTGCTCCAGTTTGCGCCTCAGTGTGTATTTGTGTGTTTTGTATTTCAGGCTCTGTGCTATTTCAGTATTGAATTCTCCCTTCCTTGCATTTCTAATTGCTGTGTTTTAAAAAGAGACAGATGTAGCTAATCCAATTGTGTGGTTTCTTAACGGTGAAAACAGAAATAAGGATCCATGCAGGATTGTAAAGGAGAGGAGCAGAATGATTGAATAGAGATGAAAGAAAAGAAAAAAGCTGAACACCGCGAGAGCACTGGCGAGGGCAGCGGTGGGGGAGAGGAGGGGGGAAAAAACAGTCATAATGAAGACAAGTGCATTATGAAATGACATTTATAGAGCTTTGAAAGTGAGAGAGATGTGGAGAAGGAGAGAGTGAGAGGGTGGATGAGTAGGAGACTGGTAGAGCTTGACATTTATGCCGACACCTGATGGATCCTGACAGGATCAGGAGGGCTAGGGCATGGCTGAATTCCTCGCTTAATTGTTTAGGTATGGATTGGACAGAGTTTCTTAAACATTGTTGTAAAACAGTAGTATTAGCGTTTTGTTGCTGGAAAGTTTTTTCTGTGAAAGTGTAGAGTCTTGGCTGTGGGTCCGGGTGCGAAAATTGTTCAAGTGCTGAGGCAGGCTGAAAACTTTTACACCCAAATCAATGAAGATTTCCATAAGGGAATGAATGAGAGAGGACCGGAGGAATGGAAAAGTGGAAAGTGGGCAGTATCTGTTGGAAACAGTAAGACATTAATGTGAGAATGTCTGTGCAGGACAAAGGTGGATATTGAGCAGGACAGTATCAGGTTAGGTGGAAATGAGAGAAGCGAATAATGTGCCAGTGTTATGGGGGGAGGAAGGGAAGACAGCCAGCTCCTTATTGGCTTTATAGGCTCAAATTTGGACTGAGTGGATCACCCTCCATCGTCTCATCATTTTTGCATTTGTGTTGAGCTTCTTTCAATTGTTCCGACACGTCCCTCTCTTAAACACATTCAAATATTCCAGCTTTTTAAAACTGAAATATTGTGTGACAAAATCTCCAGAGAATGCATAGCTAGGCATTTGTATGCCTGTAACCCCCCCCCCCCCCCAAATTATGCAAACGCACACTTTTAATTGTGACTGTGCATGCGCGTATGATCTTTTATTCAAAATTAATGATTTTTTCATTGTTATCTTTATTTTTAGGATAGTGAATATTTTCTCGCCTTTGTTGTTATTAGAAAAACAAGATAAGATCGGCAAAAATAGTTATACAGTCATGTGAAAAAGAAGGTTTTCACAGGACTGCCACTTTTGGCAGCAATAACTTGACCTAATCATTTTCTGTATGACTTTATCAGTTTGTCACATCACTGTGGAGGAATTTGGGAGCTCTCTTCTATACATAGTTGCTTCACTTTATTGAGACCTTAAGGTAGTCACAGCATTTCAGCTGGGTTGAGGTCTTAGCCATTGATTCTTTTCTTTTTTCAGCCCTTCTTATGTAGATTTGCTGCTGTGCTTGGAATCATTGTCCTGTTGCTTGACACAATTGTGTTCAAGCTCTCAAACAGGTGGCCTCAAATTTGACTAGAATACTTTAGTATGCAGAGGAGTTCATGGTCAACTCAATGTCTGCAAGGTGCCCCAGGTCCTGACGCTGCAGAACAAGCCCAAATCATTATCCGTCCACCACCATGCTTGACAGTTGGTATGAGCTGTTATGTGGTGCATTATGGTCAAATATCGCTGCGTTGGTCTCATCTATCTAAAGGAAAGTTGTTCCAGAAGTCTTGTAGTTTGTTTAGATGCAGCTTCACAAATCTAAGCCACGCTGCCATCTTCTTTTTACAGTTCCTTTTAGAGTGGAGGTTTTCTCCTGGCAACCCAACAAGATATATTTGAGTCTATTTCTAATTATACTCTCATAAACATTAACATTTAACATGTTAACTGAGGCCTATAGAGTCTGAGATGTAGCTCTTGTTTTTTATTTGGGGGGGGGGGGGGGGTTGTTGTTGCTGTTTTGGGGAGTATTGCACAGTCTGACCTTGGTGTGAATTTACTGGGATGTTTCTCCTTTTATAAAAATCCTCACACTGTGCTCACGCAATTAATCAAGTGCATTTGATTAGCAGTACCAGCTATAGTACTTTGCCTTTTAATTCCTCTGATTCATACTTGCGCATTAGTGTGTATTGTTATGAATTTTGTAGCTCCAGGTATCATGCTAGCAATATTCATTTATTATGGTTTAACATTGCAACCTCCCCACATATATCTATTTTGTGCTTTAAGTACCACTGCAGTATTTTGAATTACCAAGCCCCATAACTATCCCTAAGCCTTTTTTCTATTAAAAAAAATGTAATATTAAAGATGTAATCTGTGACACAAGTAGAAAGAAAAGAATCTGTCCTTACACAACCCCCAAAAATGTAATTTGATGTTATCTTATCTTATCTTAGTTGATATAGCTACAGAGATAGGTCAACATGTTTTATATACAGGGAGAAAAGTAAAACTTTAATAGGGATTAATGATAGATGTTGAATAACATTTTAACACACAGACAAACTTGGTGTCTGTTGAGGCTAAAAACTGCATTGTGTGTAGTAAGAAAGAGCTGAGCTTACCGGACCTCTGCAGTTTTCACCTCTGCTCGAAGCTACATTAGGCTACATTAGCTGGTGCCACGATTACATTGGATGACACCATTGACAGAAGTTATGCATCTTGTGCCTATGCACAAGATGCACAGGCACATGTCTGCTAATCAGAATCAGCGATAAGGTAAGAGACAACTAAAATAGTAGAATTTCAATCATCAAAACTAAAGCACAGATTTCTTAGATGAGTTTTATCCCGTTGCATATTTGCCATAAAAATTGCAAAAAAAGGGACCAATATCTAAGTATATTAACAAAAGATACAGTTTAGTGACTTATTGGCAGAGGTGAGGCTTAAGACACACAACAGTCAACTACAGGTCCCTATGTTAGCACACCTGTCAATCAAAGCATCCATGGACTCTAACCTAAAGCCTTACTAGTATAACTACAGTGAGTTATGAAAATGTACACCCACCTTTGAGTTATGAATTTGCCTCCATTCAGGCAAAATATATTTTTCCTACAAGGCTATAAATCTAATTCTTTGTGCTGTTCATTTTACTGTGACAGTCTAAGGGGACTAAATCACTTTTGGAGCTCGCCTCAAGTGGCCATGTGAAAAACTGCAGTTTTTGGCATTTCTGGGTTGGGTTAATTTTTCAGAACCCGGGTGGTTGATCCCACTGTGGGTCTGAAAGTCATATATGAAAGCTGTAAAAACTTAACACTGCTAAATGGGACTTTAAAAATGTAGATAAATCATGTATTCTCTGCTTGAGAGATACGGAGTGTGGCTGTGAGCGCTGCTCGTGATGCCGGCTGAAACGTCACTCCTTTCTACTGTCCTGGTGATGCCAAGATAATTGAACTTTTTTACGTATCTTCTGGGAAATCAGCCAAGGTTCTGAATACACCGGAGAAGAGAGGGGAAAAGGAGCAGCACATCAGAGTGTGCAACTCAAAGTTTTTTTTTGTTTTTTGTTTTAATTTAAAGCCAGCCTGCCTGTGTCGTACGTGCTATCTATAAAACATACCTGCGTGTTTGAAGCCATACGTGCCGCTTTACCACATCCACTTGTCTGCATGTATGTGTGTGTGTGTGAGTCTGCACGCACGACTGTGAGTGACGCACCCAAGTGCATGTGTAACCTGAGATTCAGGTGGTGATGCAGGCGGGTGTGCAAATACGTGAGTGGAATTTGTTACCACGGCAACAGGCATTCAGTGAGTCGGTGCGATGGAATGGCTGGTGCAGTTCTATTAGCGAGAAGCAGTTTCCATAGCGACTCAACATCGCAGCTGCCTATGCAAGAGTTTGTGTGTGTATGTGTGCTTGTGTGTGTCTGTGTGAATCCTGTGTGAATGTTCATTAACGCACCTCACTGTGTATGACTTGCTTTGTAACGTTTCATAGTTCCTTTTTTCCATCTATGCTATCAAATCGTATTTATTTATTTATTCTTCCTGGTGTGAAGCTCTCATGCATTTCTCTACCCCCGTCAGTTCTCTCATGCTGCCCTATTTTCATCTCCTTCCTCTGTCTCTTTCCTGCCCCCCCCCCCCTTCCCTCCTTTATCTCTCTTTCTCTCCTCTTATCTCCCCGTCTCCTCCATCTCTGAGTGCTGAAGCTCATCAGGGTAAACAGATGCTGTGGCTGTTATTTATGTTTCCACTTGGTCTGGCTTTCATACAAATTATCTACAGGCCCTGCACAGTGCAGACGCTCAGCCTAACTGGGCTGCGCTGGCAGCTCCCTCAGCCTCATCCACACTCAGACACTCAGGCCGTACCACAGACGAGGAAGGGGGTGGTGGCGAGGCACAGAGGCTGACAGAGTGAACCATAGCAACACACTGATGGACACAAAGACACCAATAACAGTGAGGGCATCAGAACTGCCTGCACCATTTGCTCCAAACATGGAGGGGAATAGCAGTTTGGGAAGGTACCATCAGGGCTCAGGACAGGGGAAACAAACATCACAGAATAAAACATAGAAGATGAACCCAGACACAAGTGTTTTGTGCTTTGTATTTTCACCTTCTTCTTTCATCAATCACAGGATGCCTGAGGTTAAGACAGTTTGCATGTTTTTTTTTTGGTTTTTTTTTATTAAATACCTAGTACTAGAACAACCACAACAGATAAATCCTTTAATATCAGTGGATTTGTACTTTACTGTTACAAGGCAGAGGTAAAAGAAGTGTTCTTTGTTCACTCTGAACTAATAACAAGGACAAGGACACCTTTTCCTCCCCTTACCCCCAACCAGTCATGGCAGATGGCCGCCCCTCCCTCAGCTTGGTTCTGCTGAAGGTCTCTTCCTGTTAAAAGGGAGTTTTTCCTTCCCACTATCACGAACTGCACCAAGTGGTTTTATGATTGCTGCGGTTTACGCTCCATTATTGTAAGATCTTTACTTTCCAATATAAAGAGCCTTAAGGTGACTAAATTAAATTGTCATCGATAAATAAAATGTAATTGAACTTAATTATCCTTGTTACTTGTTTTTAGGTTAGATTTGTTTCTTATATATAGACAATTTGATTCTTCCATTTAGTGACTGATTTTAGAGATGCTATTTCAGGAGAAAATTTCAAACCATAGCCAGGGATTAATGGAGCTGAATTTCAACTCTTTAACATATGTTAGTGGATCAACTCTAAACTAACAAACACCTGCATTGATCTGTGCTATGCAGATATTCGGGATCGCCGTAAGAAGCCTGTGATGCTCTTCATCCATGGAGGCTCCTACATGGAGGGCTCAGGGAACATGTTTGATGGTAGTGTCCTTGCTGCCTATGGAAATGTCATCGTGGTCACTATGAACTATCGGCTTGGCGTGCTCGGTAAGTTTGATGTGTCAGATATTTGATGTAACCATTTATACATTTACAACCTTTGTTTTGGTCTGCCTCATTTCAGCTAGACCAGGCCTTGTGTGCCATGTTAAACTGTATTTAAAAATGACAGCATTCACATGCATGAAAAATAACATTCTGAAATTCTTTATAGTTTACTGTGTAAACGTCTTGAGTTACACACCATTTTTAAAAAATATTTTGCTTCCTATGAGCCAAAATTTACTGTAATCTGTGAAAGTTGTCATAACAAGTAGTTCTCCAGGCTTTCTGACAGTCTTTTCTTTGCTTTTTCACTCATTTTCAGTCCAGTTATTGTATTTGACCATTTTCAGAAGGGTTTTTTTTTGTTAAGCAACTCAACACTGACCTATGAATGAAAATCAGAACTCTTTCTATTGTAGTCTTGTGTGTGCTAAAGAAGTTATTTCATTGTCTCCTTTACCTGCAGACACTTAGTTTCCATTTTTTTGTTGAAACATGTGAGAACTGCCAAAGACAACATAGTTTAACAGGCATAAAATAAGATTTTTACACCAGCAAAATGATTCCCAAAGAGCTATTCACTGAACATTTGGCATTTCTCAGCATTGTGTAAAGTATGTTGTTAAAAAAATTTTTTAAGGAAACTAGACAAGTAGAGGACCAAAGAAGTGACAGGCCTAAAATCCCATGGCAACAGGTCTTATGGAGTGATGATATGGAGTATGTTGAAAAATAAAATTGGTCATAACAAATACTGACTTTCAAGCTTGTTAGAATTGTGCGAACTCTGTTTTAGCACTATATACCATGTTTCCTTTTGTGTTTGCACATGTTTAATAAATCCCTGCACATATGTGCCATTTTCCTAGAAAAACATAACGACATGGGGGTTGGCTCAATAGTTTTGCCCAGTACTGAAAAATCAGAACTCCTGTTACTGTACTCCTGTGTGCACTAAAGAAGTCCTTACATGGTCTGAGTTAATATCACAAGGTGTGTGAATTTCTATTAATGCCAGTCATGTCATATACTGTAAAGATGCCATTTGAGTTTTATTTCTTTTAGCAGTGTTGACATGCCACAGTAGAAAAGACATGTCAGGGAAAATGATGGCAGCATGTGTGAAAAAGAGGCAGGTATAAATATAAATACTATCTCAAAGGAGCAACAGTGTCCCATAAAAAGTAAAATAGCACACTTCTTCCTCTGTCTTTATATTTTATTCAGTTTTTTCCATATTTTTTTGTATTTTCTTCTAAAGACACACAAATATAAAAATTATGAAAAACATAAAAAGAGTAAAACAGACATGTGGCTAAAATCCAAACATGAGAACACATAATTACAAAAAGTATAATTAAAAGTGTAAGTATGTTTTATTCTTAATTAATTGATGAAGAAAACATCTTTTGAGCACAAATTAAAAAACAAAAACAAAGCTCCTATTGTCCCTTTAACTCTTTTTTTTCATGCTTAATAGAAACCATTAGCGCTTATTTAAAAAGTGCAGGCAAATAAGTACACAGGGCAAAAAGCTTCAGTCATACAAGTCATGTTTGAGTAAGTTCTGCAGCTTTTAAGATTCTCTGAGCCATCTGCTCTTGTGTAGGAGGTACTTATCAATCTACGGCCATTTTTAAGAGCACCTCTTAAGATTAGGAAGGTTCATAAGATTAAAGTGATGTTTTGACTTGAATAGCAACTTCATGCTCTGTTTATGCGCGACTATGCCCTCAGAACAAATTGAAACGTGTAATCAAATTTTAGACCACGGAACTTATTCATAAAACTGCAGTTTACAAATTAATACATTTATTAGTTGAATTGAGTTGTGGTGTGGTGTGGTGTAGAGGGCTTGCCCATGTTTGGGGATGTAGAGGAAAGAGGATTCTGGAGGGGTTTTTTATCCAGAAGGAACCAGGCTCAGGAAACAATCTAATAAAGTTAAATAGCGTGTCCTAACTCAGAGACGTGACATAAGCGTTCAGCGTTACTACTTCAAATGCCAGTGTCTTTAAGGTTTAACCTGGATCATCCTGACAGGTACATGAGCAGCAGTATTTTTGTGTGTGTCCCCCTCTTGTGCCTCACTGGTACTGCTAAATCTAGGAACTTTAACCAACTCAAGCATTAAAGCCTAATTTCATCTATTGCAGATGATGGAATTAGCAATGCAGTGCCTACACTATGTGGAAACTGTGCCTGAAAAAATGTCGGAGATATTTTTTGACAGATTATAGCTTAAAAGAACTCCATGCAAACATATCCACAGTTTCTGATGAAGTATCAGCTCATGTAGCATAACAATAAGATATCTAATCTAATCTTATAGACTATCCTAAGCAAAGTGTATCCAAAGTATATAAATCCTAAACGGCCATATTGTGTTTCCACAAGTCTTGAAACGTTCTGGCTAATCTTGGTATCATTTTGGCTACTGTTGCTCACATTTCACCAGCGACTCTATGTCTTCCTGCAGCAGGCACTTTGTATTAAAACACAAACAGGTGTATTTTCTGTTTTCTCACATCCTGGCTTTTCCTTTTTAGAGTAATTCATTAATTTTTGTATTAACATGCCTTTCTGTAAAGACGACAGCCAGGATCACAGTCTCTGTACTTCAAAAGACACAAACAACAACTTAGCGCCTTTGGTGTAACATTCAGCAACAGAAAACAGAACTGCGTCTGTTGCTGTCATTGTATTTTTGTATCAAGGGGTATTCTGTTTGTTCATTTTTATAGAGCTCATGAGCCAGTGAGTGTGGGCTGAGCTGTGTGCATGTGTACGCCTAGCCCTTTTTGCTGCTGGATATCAGTGGAGTCAAGTATTTACATTTGGTGTCATCTTTTGGAGGTGTTTGCACACAGGCTCCCCGTGTCATTCATTGCGGCTGCCAGGTTGGGTAATCAGATCTTGTTTATTGCATCACGCCTGTTTCAACATATCAGGATAATGATAAACAGAGAAATGGGAGTAGTTTAGGATGGAGTCCAAGAGTTTCTGCAAGTATTAGCAGAGGGTAACGTGAGCCACACTGTTATTGACAATGCCAGCGGAGAGGCAGAGGGACAAGGACAAACTGGGAGTTAGCGAAATGAGGGCCCGGACCTGCTGCTTTACACGGCTCAGTTTCACCTTTCTGCGTGTTCTTCTTCGCAGCTGCCTGACAAATCACGATCATTAAAAAGCCGAGCCAAAATACAGAGTAGACAATTTGGAACTGATATTGTTGCATAAAATTACAAGCTATTCCAAATGCTCTTCATTGGCATCCTCGTTTGCTTTCCTTACACTCACTTCGACCTTGGCTCCGGACCGTAAAGGTATTTGATTTACATTGACATTTTTGCTGTGATCCACATTAGAGATGTGTGGAGTGCACTCATGTGTTGTACAGAACGTCCACATATAATCATTAAAGTATGCAAGATGCACATTGAGAGAGGTGGAGATAGATCCTGCTGAGTGATTATGACGCAGTGTCCTCGATTCCTTTAATGTTGTTGAAAATTTTGGTATGTGGGCGAATGTGTGCTCTCTCACTCTGACTCTCAGATATGCTTTAAATGGGTTACTGTACTAAGGCGATAATCCTTGTGTGTATGTGTGTGTGTGTCTTTTTGCATGTTCTGTGTGGCACAAGCATGTATGCATTTTTGTCTGTGTGCACACCAAGTCCTTCTTTTGCATGTGATAGAGTGTGTGTAGGCAATTGGTTGCGTGCCATGCGTAAAATATATATATAAATAATGCACCATCCATCTGCAATTTTAATAGCACTCCTCACTGACACTGTGCATTTGAGTCACAGTGAGAAACACAGGCATTTGGTATTTTAATAGTTTTACATTCTTGTCTTAAGTATTATCCCGTACTTACACTCACAGGAGCTTACACATGCCAACCTCATTTCATACAATGTCTGCGCCTTTAAAAGAGTGATAGGGAGTCAGAAATAGGGGAAGCAGAGAGTGCAGGAAACAGAGACAGATGAGCGAGGGAGAATCATGGAGAGACAGTGAGGGAAAAGGAAACAGAAGGGGGAGATGGGAGCAGTCTAAAAATAAACCTTCAGAAATGCTTTTTTAAATCTGCAGTGATGCAAAGTATTCATTCGAACAAACCCTCCTGCATTGTGACCGCAGCAGCCTTGCACATGACTTAATGGTTTCATTATAGTACAACACGTGCATCTGTCAATTTCCAGCAAATGATATACTTTATGGATTTGTAATATTAACCCCTTAGCAGTCCAATTAGTCCCCTAAACCATCCAATGTCCCGTGGGCGGTACGTCCGACTGCTAACAGGTTAATTTATCATGCGCCTCGTTGTGGTGGAATAAAATAAGTGAACCAGAAGAAAATGTCTGCAGCACACAGCCCGGTTCAGAGGTTCAGTGACAGTTGTGATTTGAGATCGCGGCTCAGCTCACCTTTTCCTACCTTCCTCCTGCTCCAGGCCCAGAGAGCCTTCTGATTTGTGTTGCATAGCCATCTGTTTAGACTAATTAACTAATTAACTAATTAATGAACTCTGGGGAAAGGCCCACCATCGTGGGCTCTGAGAGTGAGAACATTTTTCACCGCAGGAAGAGAGATGAAACGCTTCTTCTGGAAACATTTCTCTTCCCAATTTCAGCTCTTTACTTGCAAGTAAGCAAGTAACCTATTTAGGAGTAAATTCCACCATGTTTAATATCATCTTGTTCACAGCATAAAAATGTTGTATGTATATGATTTAAAGTTGCTTGAAAACATGGTAAATTGGATGTAAATTCCCTGAAAATTGTGTTTTATGTGTGCTGCCTCAAAAAAACATTCAAGTTTTTTATATACTCATCATATATCATATACTTATGTCAATTTGAGATAAGTTTAACATATTGCTTGGGCTGTCACAATAGCAGAAGTGTAGGCGTCTCTAGTAGTACTTGTAGAAATACACAGATTCTGAATACGCTAAAAATCCTATGTACTTAAACACAAGCTTCTATATAA